CTTTTACAACGAGATCTACGCTCATGCCTCCATACCTCAGGACTGGAATGTGGCTTTGATGATTGTCATACCTAAGGAAGAGGCACCGGTTGAACCTGCGTCCCTCAGGCCGCTGGCCATGGGGAGCGCGGCATCCAAGGTTTACAGCCGACTGCTTTTGGGACGCACAGTGCCATGGCTTCAAGCAGGGGAGGGCGCACAATGCAGTGGGGAAGGGAAGCAACCGGCGGAGTATGTCTTTGGGATGTCCAGGGTGATGGAACTGGAAGCAGAGTGGCACAAAGGGCTGGTTGCAGCTAAGATTGACATACGCAAAGCTTTCGACATGCTGCACAGGCCGGCGCTTCTTTCTCGATTGAAGCAAGCCATAGGGGATGGCCCAAGCTTCCGCAGCTGGCAGGCAATGCTGGCTGACACAACGGCTGTACTACAAACCAGCTGGGGATGTTCACGCCTCCAGCTGGACAGGGGTATTAGGCAAGGGTCTGTGGAATCTCCCATCTTGTTTGGCTGGTTGGCGGCTCTCATCCTACGTGATGTCAAATGCAAGCATGCCTGGCAGGACCGACACCGGGTATTCGACCAGTTGGAGTGCCAGGACCTGCTGTTCATGGACGATGGACTGCTGTGGGCCCACACCAGTAAGGAAGTCTCTAGACGCCTTGAGGAATGGGCTGCTGAACTTGCAGTGCATGGCCTCAAGCTGAACCCCGCGAAATGCAAGGCCTACTTTTCCCCCTATTGTGTGAGCCAGTCGCCGGTCTCGGTGAATGGCAACCTCGTCCCCCAGGTTGAAACACTGGAGGTTATGGGCGTTCCTTTCAGGGTTGGGGCCTCGGCGTCCGAGCTCCTGGCGCCCTTCCTGGCCCGGGGGCGCGATAAATTCTGGTCGCTAAAACACCTACTGCGAGCCCGCACTCCGCTCACAGGCAGAATCCTCTTGCTGGACAAGATCATCGGTGGCACTTCGTTGTGGTGCCTGAGCGCTTTGGCGCCAGACGCATCGGCCTTGGCCTTACTCAACAGCATGCAACTTCAGTGCGTGGTCTGGGCAATGAGGGTTGGAAAGAGGCACGACGAGGGTTGGCTGAGCTTCAAACAAAGGGCTTTCAGGGGAGCCAGGCAGGTTGTCTGGCGGGTGCTGCGCAGGAGATGGTCCACAGTGTGGTTGGAAAGATGGTGGAATTTTTCTGGACACAGAGCCAGGGCCTTGGACAGAGGGTTGGTGCCGCACTCTTCCCTCATCGACGACTACAGGAATAGGGCCTGGTGGACTAGGGAGCAGCACCTTACGCGTGGGGTGCGTCACCCGAGGCATTTCCCTAAGTTATCGAACCTCGAGAGGGACATGGACAAGGCGGCCGGGGGTCAGCAATGGCGCAGGGTTGCAAGGGACAGATTGCA